CCGAAACGGGGGTGGGCCAGGAGCCCAAACGGGACTGTTAGCCCCGTAAGCTTAGGGAGGACAACGGCCGTCCACGGTCTACACCATGGCACCAGCTGGACTCTCCAGTCTCACGGTGAGCCAAACCGAGTTCTCTGGGGGTGAAACGCAACGCAACGCCACCGAGAAACGTCCAAACGGACCACTTCTTGGCCAAGCAAGCCAAGAGGATCTGAAGTGCCACAGTTGCCTCGACTGGGACAAAAACCTGAACAGTCACATGGAGGGTCTGGGCGGTTTGGTTCGTCCCTTCCAGTGCGCGGATGTGACAGGGGCAATTGCATTGTTCTCCATGCCAGGAGATTCACCCAGGAAGAATATCAACTGCCAAACCGCTTCATCTCGTCCTTGTCACGACGTGACAATTCTCCACACCTGATTTGAAAGCGTTCGGGGCGCCGTCCTGGCGTTCAATGGCCTGCATCCCGAACAACCGGCGTTTTTCTATAAAGGGTTTTAGACATTTTTAGACTATAACACCAGGTCAACCGTCAACCATTTCTTAAAAAGGCCTTCGAAGGCTAGGTCAGCTTGGATCAGCCTTTCTTGGAGGGCCCCTTGCTTCTGAAGGATTGGCGGTTTCATCTACCGCCGAGAATTCCTGTCGGGTTTGCAAGGTCTGTGATAGTTGTGTTGCGGAGCGCTGGTCATTTTCTAGGCCAACTGTCTTTGAACTTCTACCAAAAGAGTAGTTAGATATCTTTGAGCCCGTCCCAGGGGGTCATGAATAGACAACTCTTGCGAGGGTGACGTCGGGGTGCCAACTGGGAGGAGTTTCATGTCGGGGTCTTGACCCGGTGAAAATGAACAAAGTCCTCTGATAGCCAAGTTGGTCGCCACTTTGCATTTACTGCCCAGGGACGGCGACGATGTACTTCGTGCGCCATTCAGGACCCATCAACTTGGTGATTTCCTCGGCGGCGCCATTGAACCCGGTGGTCTGAGGGTTGAACCTGGAGCTTCCAACGTTCTTGGGTGGCTTTTGGGGGAGCACCCAGTGTGGGAAAAGATGCTGTCATCTAAGTTATAGAGGATGAGTTTTGCGCAAAAAAATCACATGTTTCAAGTGGGTTGCACCAATATGCACCAATCTGTAGCTCCCGTGCTGGGTCCTGTCGAGCGGCCCAGTGCCCTTCCTCTCTAACACAGCCTATATGGCAAAAAGGGAAATACGTTGGCTCAAGATGCAAAATTCACACCAACTGTATGGGCACAACTGCTGGAGAGCCACAAATCAAATATTGTACAAACATCCTTCACAGTTTCAACATGTCATGCAGCTGGAAGTCTAAGTTCACCAAAAAAAACAGCACTGCCACTGCTATGCACAACCTCATACCCTAAGTATTTACACGCTTTCAGGAGCTCCTTATGTGGTGTGAGATTCCTTGGATGGGACAGCAGTGTAAAACGATTCACTGAACATCAAATAAATGAACAGAACTTCATGTGTATTTTTTCTGAAACATATCTAGAGCCCACACATGACCCTCTGTTTTGATAGGAGAAGACCCTATATTTGGAGTGGTTGGTGGCCATGATCCAAAATAGAGCATATAACAAAGTGTGGTATATACAGTGTATATATATAATATAAGGTAAGTCAGGTTCGAGATACCAACATACTGCAGTACCTAAGATTTGGTCAGGCGCCTTGATCTTCATTGTTTCAATGTCCTACGGAGCTTCTTCCAAGTGGCGAACGATCCGGGTCCTTCCAACCTTCAAAAGGCACCGGCCGTGTCTCCCCGCGTCTCCCGCGTCTCCCACCTCTGTGCACGACCAAGCGGCCGGATGAGCTTTGAGGATCTCCTTCCGTCGGGTCGCATGGGGCTCCAAGTTGTCGGCGAAGAAGAAGTCCCTCTCCTCCACCCCCCGGCGGTCGGCCGTCGGTCGCGACCGCGCGCCGAGGTTCGCCGTCGACGTGCCGGTGAGGCCGTGACCGGCCGTGAGAAGGAGAAGGTGAGGCCGGAGCATGCGTTCGAAGAGCAGAGGAAAAAATAGGCTGCCAGGCGACAGTTGTGGAGAATAGGTCATAGGTGAGTGCCATAGTGAGTAGAAATTGGAAGAATGTGAATGAATGAGCCTCAATGATCTCCATCTATCCCCATCCTGGCTCGAGACCAAGTCCGCTGCATCATCACTCGACTCCGCAGACACGCACCAGCTCCACTCCCTCACAACCCTGTGCGTCTGCGTTCACCCTTCACAACCCTGTGCGTGTGCGTTCACCCACCAACCTAATAAATAGCAAACATGAGCAATTAAACTATATATTAGACTCAGACCTTTCCTTTTCTTTTTTCTTTCTTTCTAGTATAGCGATGGCCTCCACCCTATTGGCCGCGATGGCCAACCTAGTAACCTTGTCGCGATGGCGGCGCCTCGCCTCAGGGGCCTCGGAGCGAAGAGAGCCCATGGCACGGCTCGTTCCTCCGAGACGTCCGTCGTTCTCCTCCGATCTCCGCTGCTTCGCGGGGCCGTCGAGCCAGAGCTGTGGGTCACCGGTCGTCGAAACCTGCTCTTTGCTGCGTGCAGGGCCGTCGGGCCGTGCGGTTCACTGCGGTGGCTTCGCGCTTCGAACGCCAAAGCGGCGTGCGGTCGCACGGGTGTTGTCCGAACCTGAAGAAGACCCCTGGAGCTTGGAGCCAAGCGCCGTCGGAATTCCTATCAAAAGCAAGGTCATGTCGGGGTTCGTTCGCTTGGTGGGTGGCCGAACTCACCTCGTTTGAACGTCGGACCTGGTCCCGGACCTCATGGATGACCGGTTCAGGAAAGGGGTACGAAGGGCGAAGAATAGACTATCCTCTAGGTACCCCAGTAGGGTCCTATTTACGGTCACTTAACCTCTGTTGGCTTATTCTGCATGACCTGCTATGTCCACTGAAAAATCCTGCACTGTCAAAAAAAAGAGAGCAGCGGTGGATGCTGGTTCAGCGGTCCAAAGCTAGAGCAGCCTGCTTTCTCCAACCAAACGAGCCCAAACATGACCTCTGTTTGGGTGGTTGGTGGTCCAGAGCGGTCGTTGGTCGTTGAGCTTCCAGGCTTCCAGGTGTGCTTCTCTTCATGGGTGAAGTTGCTGGGGCGCTTTCATCCACCGTTGCTGGGGCGCTTTCATCCCTACCCGGTTCGAACCACTGTAACTTCACATCCCGGTGAAGAAGCCTGTGAAAGGTCACCTATAGTGCTTATGGGGCTCCAAAAAGCTCACTTTGAAGAAGGTGGTACATGTTGTGTTTTGTCATGATGTCCTCCCACCATCTCCCACCAAAGGCAAGAAAGACAGGTTCCTGCGTCTTTTCTTCTGGACGTCCACCATCCAGGTTCATGGATGTCTGCTTTGTCTGGAGAACCTTCGTCCAACTCTGATGATTAAAAGATCAAGAAAGACACACTGCAGTTTTCCAGCTTTTTCTTTTGGGGCTTTGTTTCGTCGCTTTGAAATCAGATTTCCCATTGGTTGCATCCTTTCAACGGCAGTCCCACCGAGCTAGAAACCTCACCAGGCGCGAACCATCGTCCGACCCCGACCCTCGCCCGCAGCACTACCCACAACCACCCACGTATACCTCCTCCGCGACTCGGTCGCCAGGTCACCGGCCACCACCAGGAAGAGTTGGTTCCTCCGGATCCGGGGCGCCTCCTCACCACCATACCTTGAGACCGCGAAACACCCACCGGTTCACCGCTCGGACCCCGGTTCAGCGGCCTACAGAACGCGGAGCCGACGCGGAGCCGAAACGCGGTGACGGAGGAGGGTCGCGCCACTCATTGGACACCGGTCCAATGGGACCTCGGTCAATGCCTGTTCACTCTGCAAGATGAGCGATCTAGATCATGTTTGGGAGCGATCGCCAGAGCGATCCTGCAGCTTCGGACATCGATCGGGGTTGCAATAAAGGTGCTCAATACATGTCCTTGACTAAGCACAGCCCACTTCATCCCAGATTTGTGTGCAACCACGGTTTCAACATCTACGTTCTGATTCTTAACGCTTTTGACACATCAACTGAATCCACTGGCTGAGAATGGTGTTAATATGGATGTTCAGAGAATCCCCCCAAACTAATTCCCGAAACTGGGGGACTTGAACCACCTCCTGCAGCCTCAGTTGCTCCACATCGCCCAGCAACCGCGCCCCACCGCCCGCGCCCGCGGCGCGGCGGAGCGCCGCGGCGGGGAGCGCGGTCTCCGTCTCGGCCTCCAGGACGCGGCCGAAGCGCACGCTGGGCACCGAGCGGAGGGGCGTCCAGCCGTCCGGCAGCGCGGCTGGCTCAGCGCCACCTGGAGGTGCTGGAAAGGTGACTGGGAGGCTTGGGGTGACTGGGTTAGACTGGAACAGATGGACTGGACTGGAACAGGAATGCGTGGGGTTCGGTCAGTCACGAATCGTCTGCTTCTCAAGAGGTCACGACCTCCGACTCCAAAGAAGTCACGAACGGTCCAGGTGCTGGAGCATGACTCTCAAGTCGACAGCATGTTAGCTTAACATACCCAGACACGACCCACCCATGGGACTGTCATAGGACTACCGATCAGGCCAGGGGTGGTTGAAGTCGGGGTCAATGTATGGAGCATATGCCAGTGAGATGGAGTGTCCGTGGTGTCTGGGATAGCTTAACATCTTTCTCAAACGTCCGCCTCTTGAAGCGAGGGTGGGTGAAAGGGTCTCCGGATGCCAAAAGGATTAGTCCCAGACCAAATGGAACTGCCCAGACGCTCCAAACTGCTCTTGGTCCCTCAAAACCCTATGATCACTTGAACATTGGGGACCCGCTTCGCACGCGACTTTCTGCTTTTGGTCTCACGTGGTCGCTCAAGCGACGTTCCTCAGAAAGCTGAACATACAAGAACATCAACCAGTATCCATCCAACCCCATACAATACAGCGGACAACATTATCGCAACAAACATGTTCGTCACTCACGAGTAGGAAACACTTCATAACACTTCCCCATCACTCAGAGCATTCCTCGCTCACTCCCTTCTACCATGCCACAGAAGATCCCCCGGAAGCGCCGCCGCAAGCTATAGCCGGCACTCTCTCCACGCGCGGAGAGAGCGGCTGCCGTGGCGGTCTTAGCACAGAGGACGAGGCCGCCGATTTCCGCCTCCAAGAAATGTAGCGGGATGGCGGACGCCAACGCATCCTCCTGGCGAAATGGCGGAGCACCCACACCTCTGCCCTCTCGGCCAGAAGCACATCGCACAAACGAATGATCATTGACATGATGTGCTGAAGCAGCGACCCTCACCTGCGGTCGCCAACTAAGCTTTCGGACATACTGAATGGTTCCACGAAGCGGCGTTGATGGGCTGGTGCCAAGATCACCACCGCGCGGCGGGGCGTTTTGGATGCAGGACCCAACACACTGACCCTTGTACGTGACCCAGGAGTAGTAGGCACATCACGTGTACGAACACTAAAACAAACTTTGACCTGGACACAAAAGGGAACAATGGCTACACAAGCGCAAAAATCTTGTAACGCAAGACAACCCCAAGACATAGGGAGCCAAAAACCAAACAAACGCTCTTAAAGCAAAGGCACAGGATCCGACGTTTGAAATCCCCACAGGATCCGAATCCCATGCGGCTACAACGTCCGAACGACGCGACGCATGTCGCCGAGGTCGCGTCACGCGAGGCCTCCGTGGTCGGTGGTACAAAAAAGACGTGACTGGGCTCCAGCTCAAGAGACTGGGTGCAGCTGAAGGTGAGACTTGGATGATGATTCCGATTTTCTCAAAATACTCTATCTACCAGGACCCTCCTGTCGGGGTGTCTATTTATAGCCCCTTAGCTGTGATTCGGGGTGTCCATTAACCACCCCTTGAAGGCCCTGGTAGCTTCAAGTTCAAGAAAATTCAAGGGCTCCAGCTCAAGGGCAGGTGTCCACTTGCGTAGATTCACCCAGAATTCTCCAAGACCATCCAAGACCTCTCAGCTTTAAAAGTAAAACACCACTTTCCCAGTTGATCAGTTTCAAATGTTCCAAGAAGCCTTCTTCGGTTTAAAGTCCTTATTTGGGTCCATGGTGATATACTGCTGAACTGCACCTTCCCAAAGATTTGGGGTCAAAACACCCACCAATGCACTCGAGCGCATGTTTCTGGGTGTCTACTTCCGAGCCCTTTCCAAAAGTGCAACAAATCCCTCCACGCTGTCTCCCCCGGCAACCAATGGTACGTCCTGCATGGAAGGGCTCAAGGAAGGCTGCTCTTTGGCCGCCAGCATGTTGGCCAAGGTGCGCACACCACCGTGCAACCCTCGCACGAATCACCCGATCGCACGATGGGTTGGGCGAAGCGTGCGGAAGACGATCGACTCGCCTTCTGTCTGCGCCCAGGACAGGGGGGCGAACCAACAGAGCTTGAAGGACCCTAGTGCGACTATATCCCATAGGTACCCGGTTCCTACGCCTTTTTTAAAACCTCTCTTGGAAGGCTTTTGTTTGAATGGATTGTGGGGGGTGCTGGAATCCCGTCGAAAGATAAGGAGGAGAATGGTGCTGCTGGTGCGAAAGGATGTTCCTCTATAGCAGTGATGTTCTGCTGCTCTTTCTATGTTTTCTATACACAGGAGGATTCAGCCCCAACTCCCATCGTCCAATTTCCGATGCGACCGGACCAAAAGAAGGAACCTGCAGACCTGCAGGACCCTCAGGAGACCTTTGGAGCTGGGGGTGCATTCAAAGATTCCAAACAGCGTTTCTTGCTCCGTTCGTAGCGAACCTTGTTACAGTAAGGCCAGGAGTGCCCCCACCTCGTAGCGTCCGATCGCTCCGTTCAAAGCGATGCCCAAGTCATGTTCCGTTCGGAGTTCGTCCGATCGCGGAGCTATGCCGGTAGCTTTGCCGGTAGCGATGCCGGTATAAGCACCCCCTCCGAAAGTCATCACAAAGCTTTTTCAGGGGCTCACCTTGCGAAAGTCATGTAGAAACCACCCGCCCAAAAAGAAAAACTTCTAATCTCACGCCAGAAGTCTAAGTCCTGGTTCTTTGACCACGACTGCCAGGTGCTCATCTTCAAAGAGGACCTCCTGAGTTCTTCAGGGATCAAAAACATGGTCAATTCCAACTTCTTCCCTCCACGGCGCACAACACTGGCTCCCAGCACAGGTGGCACACCTCGACAATAGCCATCGCAGGTGCTTTTTTGTTGCTCGGGTTCCAAATGATCCAGATATTGCCCGTGCCCTTTGCACCCATTTTACATACCCAAAGATGTAAGGGAAATCTGAACATAAATATCCAAACCTTCGGCTTCTCAAAAGCCACCTGACACTGATCTTCGTCTCAGTTTTCCTCGCCCTATCAATTGCAGGTCCATCACACCCTTCAGCCCATCGCCCGAACTCAAGGCAGGTCGAAAAAGCAACCTCACTCAGATGCCAAGTCCTGAACCCTCCATTCCGGAATCGGGCCTGACCCGAACCCTCTAAAGTCAGGGGACAAGAACCAGAACCAATCCCTAGGTTTTTGATGGTTTTTGAGGGACCAGCTTCAAGGGCGGGTGAAACACGGAGCATCTGTGACCGCAGTGGACACCTGCCCAGTCACCAGCTTGGTCTCGTGAGGACTCCGCCGCGGATAGTCCGGCAGAAAAACGATCGTCTGCGGAGCGGCCAACGACCTGAATGGCCCATGGGCAAACGGCGGGCTCCGCAGGCGTCGTTACTCGTCGTGTCAGGTGTACTCGTTACTCGGCTGGTACCCCAAATCCGATTGGGGTGTAACATCGGGATGTTCTGGACAGATCCTTTGGGATTTATTCAGTGCATTTAGCTCCACCAAGTCTGCAAACCAAGACGTCCGCAGCCTTCTTTTCTCCCCTCCCAAGCTCCAAGCTTCTTCAGCTTCTGAGGCCACTCCACGTAACTGCTTAATGTCTCAAGTCTCATTCAAACCCCAAACCGAAACCGCAGGGTGAGCCCGCTTGCCCGAGCGATCGAGCTGAAGAGCCACGATAGATAACAGTGCCTCCAATCACCTTCTGAGAAGGTACTTGGATACCTAGGGAGGTGGTTTTCACTCACTCCACTTCTATCATGACTCTTTCAGGGAGTCTGTAGTCTATAGGTCTCCATTTGGCACCACTTGGGAAGCGCCAGCCGCCAGGGTGGGGGCGTTCCCACAAATGAACTCCGGAATCAAACTCCTGATGCCGGAAGTCCGCGGACAAAAGGTTAAATGCGGCTGTTCTCGTTAACTAGGGGGTTAAAGGTTCTCCACCCCTATGAAATCCACAAGACTTCTCAGTTTTGGTACGACTGAACCCTCCAAACCGCCTACATACAAGTGTCGAACACATACTTTGAACACATCACCCCCAAAAAGAGGGTGGCAGTGGATCCCAGTAAAGTTTGTTCGTTCAGTGGATTTGGCCTTGATGTTCTTAACTTTCCCGACTCTTCCAGGTCATAGAACACACGTGCCGTGCGGTTCTCTTCAAGGCTCACTGACCTGGCAGACGAAGCATCGACCCCACCGACCAGACCGACCGGAGTTGTTTCGTCCCACCACTCCGCGGAGCCGTCGACCGCCCAGGCACTCGCTCCACCATGCTTGTCGCACGCCTGAGGGACGCGAGGGAAGCGTCCAACGAAGGTCGAGATGACCACGGTGAGATGAGCAACCTACCACCTGTGAGAGGTGAGGCGAGGTGAGAGGTGTCCAAAAACCGAAAACCACCGGGCGAAGACGGGAGGTGTAGGTAGAACCCGGATATCATCTGTCTTGGGTGGGTGGTGGTCCAAAATGGTCACACAGGTTCCAGGTAAGCGAAGGTCATCAACAATTGAAACTACATGTGGAACGGGTTCAAGTGGCAGTTCACCTTCGTTAATGAAATCCCTCACCACCATCTTGGGCAGAGTAGATGTGGTAGTTCTAGGCAGTCTCAAGACCCATCGATGCAAAGATGCAGAAAAAAAAAGGCTGCTGGACGAAATGCTCTACGCATGGCTCCCCCTTCCCCCTCTTACTAGTCTAGCTGTCCGGGATGCATTGGCGTTTGAAGAAGTGTACCGTTTGCTGCCTGGGTCTGCTTAGATCTCTTCAGGCTAAAGTACCGTCTGTCCCCAGTCCGAGGATCAAGGCTGACGTTCAATCAGGACCTTCCAAAAGGTGTTTAATAAATAACCTCTTAGAGGTGTGAAGGGGTGTCCATAAACCACCAGGCTTGGAAGGTCCTGAAAGCGATTACCCCTCATTACCTTCCATCCAAGCAGCTGGTGTCTCTCATCTCCTTCACCTCCTTGATCCACACGCGTGCGCGAGCACACACGCGCCGCGCCACTGAGACGGTCGGGAAGTGACTGGGCCAAAGGTTCAGCAACAGGTCCATCAGGGGCTGCGCCGGCGCCTCGACGCGGGGACCGGCGAAGGTTCGACGGCGCGGAGACGGCGCTTGGCGAAGATCGCAGAGCGGACAAGAAGGAGCGAAAAGAAGTGAAGGCTACACCGACTTCGTCGTACCTCCTCAGAAGGTATTTGGACCCTCCTGGCACCCACCCCAGTCCCACCTTTTCAGGAAGTGCTTGGAGGCCTGGGGGAAGTGGAACTTGGGGAATTGTTTGTTGGTCTCTTCGAAGCCAAGGACCCACGGAAGGATTGAAACCTCTTGAATTGGAGTGTTTTGGCTCAGATGGTCACATATAATAAGAAAATGGTTCAAAAGGTCTTTTCCTATGTATCAAAACAGGGTCGTTCGAAGCAGTAAACTCTGGTTTCGCTGGGCCCCGATCTAGCACAGGGTCCTAAGAACCATCGAAAACATTCTAATGCCGCTGAATCAGGACCTTCACACAGGCGTGGGGGGAGGTTGTTGGCTCAGTTCTTTTAAAATGACAACCAAACCTCCTCTACATCGTAGGCACTAATCCGCAAAACAGAATCATTAAACCTAGACGTGCTACCAATGCCTCGCCAAGAGCCATTATTTATGGCCGCATGCGGTCTTTCAAACGGCTCAAATCGTTAAAAACCAAATGATGATTTCAAAAATTCGGTTCACGAGCTGTAAGAGGGTTTTCTCAGACCTCGAGTGCATGCCTCCTATTGCGTCCTCCACCGCCGGATGAAAAGTTGCCCGAACCAACATTGAATGTTCCCAAGGCGATTTGCATCATCCATAAGGCTGAGAAGGAAAACAAATGATTCATAATCCCTGCCGGCTTCCAACCACCATTGGTTTCAAGGATGTTACCATGACTTTACACCGGGTGCATCATGTTTTACTGTAATATTCTTGGACTTCCACGGTGATAGAACAAAAATGAACAAAAAGACCAGGTGAAGCCCTGGAGGTTGTTCTGTGTTTTTCTATCCATGTCTGAAAGGGAGTTACTTACTAATTTACTCATCAAAAGACTCCCATCTTTGTTTTGCTCCAAGCGCGCACGCAGAAGATGCACATCAATCCAAACCCCCGGAACTTCACGACCCGGCCCACCAGCAACCCCTCGCGCACGCGCACCACCGCACCTGTGCTGGAAGGTGGTGCACCAGCACGCAGTCCTGTGGCTCCCGCTCATCTCGTCGCTCCCGCGCGGTGCACGCGGGCGAAAGGGCGTCGGTCCTCGCGGAAGAGACGAGCAGTCTGCGGAGGGATTCCCTTGCAGGTTCAGTCTAGTATGTCCAGGTGTACCTACATCCAGGTGCAGTCTAGTACAATTTGGTCCTGACAAATGTACATTGAGTAGTGATTTTTATATGAGCAACTCCAGTAGAATGAGGTCAAACTGACGTGTAGGGGCATACCCTTGCGGCAAACGCTATTAGAGCCAACCAACGTGAACAATCACACACTCACACACACACACAAAAAGGACCTTCAAAGTGACCTCTTTGGAGTCATATATATAAAGTGATCTCTTTGGAGATCTCAAAAGGTCACTTTGAAGGTCCTGGCGTGTGTGTAGAAAAGCAACTTGGTCGAAGCATATCTGTGCACCCGAGTTCCCTGTGCGCGATCGTGTGCTTTCTTTCCTCGCCAAGGTGGGGAAGAAGAGTTTGTAGAAACAAATGAAAGGACCAGGAGTTCCAAAGGGGTAGCTTTTTAGTCCTGGATCGTGGGCAACCATATCCTCCAATAGGCAGGCACCAGTTTGGAACTAACGGTGTAGAAACAAATGAAAGGAGGTTGAACTCCCATAATTCCTGCGGCCTGCGACCTGATTCCTCAATTTACCCGTATCCTGGGAGGAAAGAACATATATAGTCCTGTTAGCCTCAACAAATCCTAAGCTTGCTGGGCGGTCGCTTCGGTCCGCAGAAAGCAAAAGAATTCATTGTAGTGAGCAGTGATTTCAACACATGCAACGACACATGTCCACCGAGAAACACCTCTACCTCCCCACACCACACAGCATTACTCCATTCAACGGCTTCATCGGACGCACCGACGGCTTCATCTCTCCCCGTGCGCATCGCGGGTCACGCGGGTCAACGGGACCCGCCTCACCGTGGGAGAGGAGTCTCCGCGACGCTCCAGGACCAGGAGCGCTGCAGGCCAACCGCCCACCGTCACCTGAACAGCAGCGGACAGCAGGTCGAAGGCGAGTGGACCGGTGTTGACTGTATAGACGGCGTAGCCTGGAGGCATCGTCTGTGGATCATAGCACCAGGAGACTGGGCACGACCTAGCTGGAAGGTCGTTCGCTACATGGTGCGACCAGGGTTCCCAGGAAGATGAACTGCTTTGGAAAGGTTCTGAAGGTGCCACACTGGTCCATGCCAGAGTCGCTATGACAAGCTGTCTGGCAAAGTCATATATGTCAGTGCTACAGTCATACTTCGTCTCAGAAGGTATGTGGACCCTCCTGGAAGGAACACCCCCCCAGCCCAGCCCCACCTTCTCAACAGGTACGACTGGAGCACTAGGGATCATGATGTGCTTTTTTTGCTGCCTCTTCGGTGAACAATTTGATCCCTTAGGCCGCGGTGTGTGCTGGTGAGCACTTCTTCGATGCTGGACAACACGTCTCTTTTTGCATATATGAAATAGACCTGCTTTGTGAGACAAAAGCATCTGAAAATCCGAACATGTCACAAATCCGATAATGACAATCATCATCAATCATCTAAGATGTATTAAAAAGCTGAAGACAAAGAACATAGGGCTACGGCAGGCCTATGGGGTCGAGGCGCCCCCAAAAGTCAGACATTTCACCAGCTTCAGCAACCCTCTCAGAGGGCGAAAGGAGAGTCTAATTCTGGCTGACATACAAGGTCGTATTTCACAAGCCTTGAGCAAGGAGCCTCTTCGTACAAGAAACCTTTTCCGTCTGCCCCCAAAAATGGAAGCTTGTGTGGATCCCGATCTACAAATGAGACACGGGGGGCTCTGCGCCCTTAGCTTTGTGAACCCAAAGATCACTGGGGACTGACATGGGGGGTTCATCTGCCAATCTCTCAGCCTGTGTCTGTGTCATCGTGACAACTAGGAAGAGACGTGGCATCCATACATGGCACGGCATGCATGAAAAACCAGCGGACCAGACCTGCCCACCGGACGTTCGTTCGTCTTGGTGTACTTTGGCCATCACATGCCATCACGCAACACGAACGTCGAGAATGCCCAAAAGCCGCGCCTTGTGGCACGCCATCTGGCACAAGGCCTCTCGGTCTCATTATGCAGCAATCCGACGAGAGGTCAATGAACATCCCACGGATTCCGAAGACGCATATAGCCGATTCACCCCTCTTCAGGGTGGTGTGGTTTGTGGATGGTAAACACATGGTGAGGGGGGGTCTATAAACCAAAATAAACCAAACCACCCTTTGGGTGGTGGTGGTTGTACATAATATATCCATGAGGTGCTCACTGTACAAAGTGTGCGATGAAAGGTCATACATGGATCTTCAAACAGCACAATTTCTTTGCCGGAGGCAATTTTCAGTGAAAAGACACCGCAATTATGAAAAGGCCATGATTGGTGCTTCCATCTCCATGTCTCTCCACCTGTGGTCTCTCCATGTGTCTCCTTCAGAAAGCCACGACATGTATCTCACGTTCCACAAAGACCAATGGGACTGGAAGGGTTACCCTTGTTGGGGTCATTCGAACATGGGATTTTCATGTATGTCACTCTTCCAGTCCCATGGATGTCTGAAGTGAAGATGGTCAAAGCAGTCTGAAACCCTAGGGCTCCAGTTCTTACTTCAGAAGGTACGACTAGACTCTGTATGGGGAAGTGTTTCCACACTCCCAGTCTCCCAGTCTGCATGTCTCCAAAGCCACCCAGGCTGTCTCCTGGCACCGTGAGAAGCCACCCAAATCCGTTCACAGACGGTCGATCTCCCGACGAGTTCGTCACGGCCCCAGAACCTTCGGAAGAACGCCCTCCGAACGAAGCCGGGACGGGACGGGACGGTTCCCACCTTCCCCGACGATCGCGAGAGGAGTCCGAAACCAGAAACGCCACAGAATTAAACGCCATGGCGCACTCTGCACGGTCGAGTGTGGCACCCCTCGAAAAAAGAACAGTGTAACAAGCGTGGAGATCTGAAGGACCAAACTTGTGGCGTGATCTCTTCCATGATCTCTTTCCATGGTAGATCGTCCTGTCACCCAAATCCGATCAATTGATCACGCAGGCAGCTCGGTGAGACTTTTTGATCGCCACACAGGCGCCATGTGGTTGCAGCTCGTAGCCACCATCCCAGACCTGGCAGCAAGAGCGATACTAGTTTGCTACTAGTAGCAAGAACGAGACTAGTAGCTTCTTGCTACTAGTAGTAAGGCCAGGAGCTACTAGTAGCGTCCTTCCTCCTAGTAGCGCCCTTTGTTACTAGTAGCGTCCGAAGTTTCTACCGATGTGGCAAAGACTTCCAGATTAAAAAGGGTTGATTTATCCATTTTTTAGGGGATGGGTCGTGGCAAACCATGTTCACCTGACCAGGAGGTCCAGCATGGTCCGCGGTCCCAGACCGACGTCCGTTCATTGACCGGTCGTGCCCAGGTTTGACCCATGGGAGATGTAACCTACCTGGAGCCTTTTTGTGACCCCTGTTTTGGAGGATCAACTATCCAAAATATGGTCAAGCTTCCTATCAAAACAGAGGTCAGGCGAATTCGGCTCTATAGGTATAGAACCGAACCCGACCATATGGATCTTCGCAGTTCGGGTTCCTGTGCCAAGCATAGAGTTCGTGCCCACGAACTCTGAACCGGACCCACAGGAACTGAAGCGCTGATTCCTGACCTGTAGGGCAGTCCAGAATGGATGTTGGTCCCTTATTATTTGAGGGGACCTACAAAGAACAGCACCTGTTGAGCACCCACAACTACCCAAGACAGAATACTGATGAATATGGTATCTAGTACTACTTGGATTTTTTTTTTGCTTAAGGAACCAACATGAACCAACCAGAAAAAAGAAAATCATCCCCCGGTTCGGAGATTCACCCAATTCGGGACACTCAAAATCACCCTATCCGCACAACAGCAGTTCACAGACAGATCATCTGTTGCCTGCCACCTATATGCCATAGAAGCATCACACAAACGTTATTGGATGGTAAGCATATGGTGAGGGGGGATATAAGCCACCCAAACCGACCCAAACTGTATGCTGGTCCATTGGCAACTCACGGCCCTGGATGGCCCTGGATGGCTCAGGGGCTACCAAGCGCGGCAGCATAATCTCGACCCCATGTTCATGCAAACATTCCGTATGTCAACCTTGGGGAAAGGCTTCAAGTGCTTTCCAGCTTGGATTTGCTGTCCAGGACCCGGGAGGAAGTAAAACATCTTCCCAGAATCCCCAGAAGGTAATTCAACCAGCTCGGGGGAAAACATACACATCGCCCGAAAACCCCAAAAACCAATCCAGTCAGCTTTCCAGTCACTGAGCTTTCCCCCAGTTCCAACACTTTCTTCAAGTGCCACCTGTGAGCTTCATGTAGACTGTTGATGAATAAAATCCCCAAAAGGGCCCCCAGATATGGATTCCAAAACCTATATGATGGATTGATGAATCAACCGTTTACACGACTGACCTTTCTGCCCCTTTGCCTTCTGTGTTTCAAATCCCAAACAACGTCCGTCGTAGACCGCTCCAGCACTACCCTTCCCTCCAGTCGCCCGAGCGCGCTCGGCTCCCCCCGTGCGCCCTTCGCGGCGCCTGAGCGTCTTCCAGAATTCGCCGCGCCGCGAACTTCCTCTGGAAGGTCCGCTGGGCCTTCTGCACGTAGCGCGTGAGGCCTTCGCTGTTGCTGAGCAAACGGCGAAGCTCCACGCTCCAGGACTCCAAAGGGAGCCACATGTTCCTCAAGTCGACGAAGGTCGGAGAGGAACTGATGATGTCCGGTATGCCAGGTATCCCCTCAAGATTGGGGTATCCCCTCAAGATTGGGGTATCTCACCAAAACAGCCGGGCCCAGTGGATGATGATGGTAGCATGTAAAAGCCTTGTTCAAACATAGTGGTCATCGTTTACCAACTGTTACTGGTCATGGGACAGACCCGACCTCTATTGATCCAGTCGACTCGGCCGAGGCGATCCCGGCGGGGTGGCGGGTTGAAGCTGCGGTCGGTCAGGAGACCCAGAGGGTCCGATGCCTCAGAGATCTAGGTCATTAGCAGTCCAAGATGAGACCATTCCACCAGGAGGGGGACATTAGGGGTGGGTGTCCAAGGGTTCATTCACTCATGCTGTTTTCCAAGCGAATTGGTGATGTTAGGACAGGGTCTGTGATAACATGGTCCCATGCTTGAGGGTCTTCCAAATGCTATCCTTAAATTGTTTTAAGACACACAAAGAATACACATTAAGCACTATAAATGAAAAAGACTAACAATTAAACGTCGCTCCTAGCTAATCCCAGCTACTTCTCCACATAAACAATGCCATCATAGGCTTCTGCGTCCAGTTGATTGATCTCTTCAGTGACCACGAAAAAGCCCGCGCTCCTCGCTGGACATGCAGGGGATGGCTATCCGACGTCATTCTTGAGCTGCGGAATTCAGGGATCAAAGTTCCGAAGCGCAACAAGACCAACCCTCGAAAACAAGCAAGTCGCAGGTAAGTTCTGCCAGTCGCGCCCAAAAACCAGAAGTTGCCATTCGAAGACATCGTAGGGGTTCGACTGTTTCTAAAGAAATCCCTTGTTGTCCCAAACAAGTTCAATTTTCTTTGGTGTGCCCAGGGCGACAAACAAACGAAGCAGACTTCCGGATCCAAAGAACCCAGGGGTCCATACCCATCCTATGTCCGCTGAAACTCACGTGGGCGTTTCACGGAACCCCGTCCGACAGAGTGGGGCAAGGGTAGATGAAGCAACCGACCAACCCACCCACGAACCTCCAACTCTCCCGTGTTTTGTTGCAGATGGATGCGACGTCATTGGTAGATTCCAACCCAAAGGCCCAAAAACAGGTGAAAGAAAAAAGTGAATCGAACGCAGCTCACCATGCGAATCGAACGCAGCTGACAGTGCGAGACAGTTCGAAGGTCCACAACCTCCACGAAGGAATCCTTGCAGGTCACCTTCCGGGTCTCCCAAATGGCCAATAAAGCTAAGGGGAAGCTTCAAGGTGTCCAAAATGAGTGACCGGTGCCAAAAGGAAAGCTCCCTCAAATGACCTAATGTAGACTCTTGACTAATAATGCCCCCATTTGGATTATATTACTATACATATATATATAATATACTCATAGGATCTCATAGGTTTTTAATGTCAATGGTCGACATTAATTATATGATTATGATGATTATGCATCAAACGAGGCGCATGGGTGGGGACGGGGCTGGGGAGGGAAGATGGAGGGGAGCGAAAATCGGATCCTTCCGCTTCCCAAAAGGGCAGGCCCTTTTGTTCAAGGCCATCGCGGGCACCACTCCACTTGCGACCCGAAAGGTTCAAACACGTTCAAAACAACATGGATTTCCCCACCAACAGGTCCAAGCGTCAAGAGCCCTGAGATTCGGACAGTTTCCAAGGGTTTCTGCTCTTCAGGTCGACTCTGGTTGTTGCAATCCTGCCACCGCGGCACCGAAGCGGCACCGAACGGCAGCAAAGCGGCCCTCCGTCAAAGCGGCGGAAACGGCGTTCGGCTGCCAAAAGCAGCTCCGAAGAAGCATGGGTGTTTGAAATCCCTATAGATCCACGTACCGAATCTGAGAAGGTGAGGAAGGGAGGGTCCAGTCATACCTTCTGAGGTACGGTGGATCCATAGGGTGAAAGGGTGTGTTCCTAAAGGGTGTAGAACTGGAGGATGGATGCGCCGAGGATGGTTAATGTAGACTCTTGATCAGAGCCCGACCCAGTTGAATTGAAAAAAAAGACATTTTGCATGTGATGGCTCTAAATCAAGAGTCTATATTAGTGCGAACAAAACATCCAAAAAACCTAGCTAGGCCATGACTAATCGACTTCGCCCCATCTTGTGATCCGAAGACCCATCCGAATCCTGGACTGCCAGGAGGACCTCCAGCCAGCGAGGACTTTAAATGAAATCGCGCAACAGCTAGCAAGACCCGAACACAGAGGTTGCTATAAATAGCCTCTTGACGTTTTCTCATTTTGAGTTCTTCTCATTTTGTTGATCACTACTCTGGTTGATGCAGTCTGTTCATCACGTCTTGGATTTTCAGGACCTGTGTCAAAACACACCAGACAACGCGCGCGGGTGGTAGCTTGCAGAAAACTGCTGGCACCCAGGTAAACCGGGCAGTGGCAGCCAGTTGCTGCAAGTGGCTGCCAAAGCAAGTGGCTGCAAAATGGAAAACCACTCAACCTCCCTCCACCTCCACCTCCCTCCACCTCCACCTCCACCTCACCCTCCACACCTCCACCTCCCTCCACCTCCACCACCTGCCTCCCTCCACCTCCACCGCCTCCTCGTCCTCCTCCCCCCCTCCACCTCCCTCCACCTCCACCTCCCTCCACCACCCTGTCTCACTATCGCCCACTCTCTCTCACACTCTCACTCACTCTGACTCACTCTCCTCCTCTTCTTCTTCTTCTTCTTCTTCTTCAACAGCTGAGCGGCGGACCGTCCTTGTCTGCCCTGCCTATCTGATCATATGCTATTGGGCCGTCTGCCTGCCGTCCTCCCACCTCCCCCATCGCCTCCTCGTCCTCCTCTCCACCTCCTCCACCACCCCCTCCCACCTCCACCTCTCTCCACCTCCACCTCCCTCCACCTGCACCACCTCCAACCTCCTCGACCGCCACCTCCTCCGCCACCTCCCCGCTTTGAAAGCTAAACGCATAAAAACATGTAAAAACGAATAGAGGCAATGCATCGAAATCCATGCAAATGGCAAGGCCAGTGTGCAAGGTGAAGACTGTGATGTGAGCATGGGCGGATGGACAAGTCTATTGCAAGACGTGAATTGCACGTGAGCTTGCACTCCATGAGTGATGATGTGATCATCTGAACGCTGCAGTGAGGACTTTGAATGATGAAATCTGTGGGTGATCGCGTGTTTGTATGATGGCAGTGGCGCTCACCAATCAATGCGTTGGTTGATGTACACTTTGCACAAAATCTTTCTGCAACTCTCTGATGCATCCAATTTCTTCACTCCAGCCAGACATGTCATACTATATATAATTATGTTTAAACAAATTAGTCATATATAACATATTGAAACCAGCTGAGACGTCGCGCTGGAGCAAAAACGTCAAAAAGAACCTACCTATATACCGAACACATGGACGATTTACCAGACCAGCATGTAAATGGACAAATCTTGCCTGAGCGGAAGAACAAAGCATGGTCGCATGGTGCAAACGTCATCTGGACGAGGCCCATGTACAAGTCGGCCATGTAGTCTTGAACAGAATTCTCTCAACAGTGGCGGCAACCGGCTGCCCAAGTGGCTGGAGACTCAGAGGGTTTTCGTGCAGCCATGGAGAATATTCAGACTTCTCCGTCGCCAGCTCTGCAGAAATCCCGGGTTTTCTCCAGAGCTGTGCGCGGAGAAATCGTGATATTCTCCAGACAGCTCAATGAAATTGTATGCATTATTGGAAGTATCCGAAATTACGATGTCGGAAACAGTGGTTTAGATTGGTTTAAGTTTAGGTCAATGGTCGAACAACTCACATGTTGCATGATTTACTGGGGACAATGGACAACAGCATTGTAACATTGTAGGTAAACTGTTCTTCGATGATCTTGCTGAAATCTTTCATATGTGTCAAACCTTCATCTTGATCCCACGACCTGTCCTGATGGATGTTGAAGAAAGCCAAGTTGGGATTTGCTGTTAAACTCCTGAAGGGGTGTGCGAGAACACATCTTGACAAGGAAGGGCACAGAGAGGTGTGAAACTTCATACTCTGGATGGGGGCAATTGTCGAACATGCCAAAACAATGTTCCCCAAAACGGTCTTTGGTGAGTATCTGTATCTGTGACACTATGAGCGAAAACGTGACATTGGAAAGGAATAGTTCTATTCAAATAAAACAAACGTTTTCGGGAGACGAGTTGTCAATAGTTTTCAATTCTAAAACGCAATGAAAAAAACGAGCGATTGAAAAACGGTGATTGATACTTGGTTTTCCATACCATAGTGCAGGTTCTTGTTGAGGATGTTTGGGGTGGTCATACGGGGGTGTTCTTTTGGGACCGCAAACACTTAGCCCAAACCAAATCTTGGATCCTCCCGCAGGGTGACTGAGGAATGTAGCGATCGAATAATCCGATGGTCCGTGTCGGCGGGTTGTGCATTTTGATGTGAATGGAAGAGGGAACTGATTTTGTCACCTCTGATCAATTTGGGAAATGACACAGTCCACTGAATATACGTATGATCTGATCAACCACCAGGACCTGAGCCGTTCGTGACCTCTTTGGAGTTTCTGTTTGTTTCTGTTTGTGACGATTTGCAGGCCTTTTCGTGACCGAACATCCTGGGATCTCAAATGATGGCCACTGTGAAGGTCTGGCAGATGGTGAGACAAAAGAGATCTCTTTTAACGAAGGACAGAAGATGATCGAAGTATTCTGACAACATCAAGTCTGGACATGCAGTGGCTAGCCCTGTCTATAAACACTGAAAGGACCGCTGATTCAAAGGGAGAAGAAATCTTCTCCTTCCGCATGTAGCCTGCCATGTTTCACCACACGCAACCAGATTCAAGACAAATGTCCTGCAAACTCATCGCCGACTAAGAGGCGACGCACCGAGACTTGCTCAGCGGAGAAAATCCATGAAAATCCTTCCTTCGCACCGCTTTTCGTCACCGACAGAGAGTCCGTCGAAAGCGCATTGCTAGTCCCGTCTCTGCTTGTTCGCGGGCGATCGGCCGCGGCTTTGGATCGGACTGGATCGGATAGCCGTTGGAGAAGCCAAGAAGAAGCGCAAGCTTCGGTGGTCTTTGCGGAGCAGGCCTCAAAAGGCCCTTCAAGACCATGTCCAACACTGTCCAAACCAAAACACTGTCATGTCCAACCAAAGACCCTTAGGACAGCAGGCAGACCCTGAGGACTCCTCCATTGCTGAAGATTCCAGGCATGATAGCTCCTTGGATTCGGGTTCCACGACAGGGGGACTTGCACGACAAGAGCCTCTGGCCCTACACTTGGTTTGTCTTGGGAACCACTGGTGGCCTGCTCACTCAATAGTATGCCAAAAGTATTCAGTGCGTAGCTTAGCAGCTTCAGCACGCAGCACGCGCAACGCTGCGTGCCAGCATTGTCGAATGTCTTTGAAAACCTGTACCTAAAATATACACTTATATACACTATTTTTTGGTTCCTACACACACCAAAATTGTTAGGTCTGAACCAAAGGACCGGTGGCACAAGAACGCGCCAATGCATTCCCGTGATCCGAAGCCATTCCATGCATTCCAGGACCGGTGTTCTTTCGGGTCACCATGAAAGCAGGACGCTCTCGCTGGCAGACCGCTTGTTCGTTCGTGTCTTTCAGGTTGCTTCGGACACGCTTCGGATTCGATTCTCTTCCCCCCAAATGCCAAAAACCTCCCAACGAGATCATGCCAAACATCACAGAATGACATGCCCCTTCTCATCACAGTGGCTTGACCTCCCAGTTAGGTCAACCAGTCGGCATCCGGGTGGCATGGACCCACGGCCACCTTCTCAGTTGTTCAAGCACGTGTTTTCACGCCAACGGTTCCTGGTCGGCCAATCCATGCACTGCCACCCCATTCCCCCAAACAGCCTGCCCGGACGTGTGGTCGGCCAATTGGGCGCCAAGAATCTCCAACTTTGGGAAGAGCTTCTGCAGGTGTTCCAGGCACTCCAAACGTCTCCTGGGGAGGTCAAGCCATGGGGCCTCTTGCAAGAAGCGGCACCACGCCCCGGTTCGGTCCAACTCACCTGGTGAACCAGAAACGACAAGAGCTCACAGGGTTCACCGTGAGCGATGACAGAAGTCCATCGTGACAGGGTCCGTTTGTTTTCCTCGCTCTTCCACCTGCGAGAGATGCGGCCGAGGCTGATGCGGCTGTATTAAAGCCAAAAAACCACATAAATATCCCAGGGAGTACCCAGGTAGCACTAATCTGTAGGGGGAATTTTAAAGGGGATACATAAATTAGCCTTAAAAACTCAGGAGCTGACAGCCGTTCCTGACCTCGTTTGGAGTCTCCGAGTCTCCAAGTGACGTGATTATACATCCTATTTATATGTGACCCGGCCTTTTCGTGATGAAAAGAACTGGCCACTGACTGAAGGTTCTGAGGTGGCGTTGATGGGACAGGTATATATGGAAGGGCCATTGGTGATAGGAGCCAGTGGTATGACGCGAATTCATTCTGCTTTTCAGGTGTGCATCTTTTTGCAGTCCTTGTTCTTCCCTGTGGATCCACTGCCACCTTCTCAGAAGGTATGACTGGGCCCTCCTGGTGACATACATAGTCTCCGTCCTCACCTTCTCAGGTTCGGTATGTGGATCCATAGCGTATGGTTGGTTCATGAAGCATGCTCCAGCATGCTTCTCAGGAGTTCTCGTTGATCTTCCAACCCTTCTGAGGCAAAAAAGGACCGGTAGAAGCATGACAGGTAGAGGTTTGGCCAGACACTAAGCAGACACAGTTGGCCCATCCAAGTCTGTTGCTCCAAGTCTTGAAAATCCTCCCTTGCTGCATGGACCGCATCACTCACAGGACGACGTGCGCGCGCTGGTGGCGTGCCACCCACCAGCCCACCAGCTCCTTTGCATTCCACCAACGGCGCCAATGAAGCCCCAGTGCAGCTCCGAAGCCTGCGTGTTCGGTGCATCACAAGCAGGTGAGGAAGAAACCTCCGAACCAAGACTGTTACACTCCCTGAAAGGTTTGGACCTGTATCTAGGTAGGGTGGACCGTTTTTGCTGTATACGGTCACGCCCAACTTCTGCACAGACCCAGACCGTGTTGAGTTCGGCAGGGTGGTGCGCGGCGCCGGGTTGCCGACGGGAAGCTGGCGCCAGGTCCCAGTTAGAGCGTGGTGGGTGGTGGGACCCACACTCCTCTGAAACCATATGGAAGAGGGAGTGAACTTCGAGCCACGTCGGTTCCCAAAGAACCACCGAGGAGGTCCCGTCGGTGTACCGAGGAATTGGGAGAAACGATTCTCAACGTTCCGCAGCACTCGTCTGAGCAGTTGTGTGGTTCCCTCTATGAAGCCGATGTGAATACCGATGTGTCCCAGTTTCTGGAAGAAAGAACGTGTTCCGAATCACCTGGAAGAGAAGGAAGTACCCTGGAATCTGGAACATGACATTGACATGACCTCATGTGATCCCATCTACAGTACCCATGTGATCCCATGCTCATCCCTTTTCTGGGGTTCAACTGGTTCAACGATGACTCTCCCATGTGATCCTCCGTCCAATGTGGACCCACAGCCGGACCAGTCGGGCTGTGAACTCACGGAGCGTCTGGGTGGAAGTGGAGTTCGCCCCATGGTCCACTTTTTGGACCATGGATTCTTGGGCCAGTTCACCCCATGGAAGTATGGTATTGAGGATTTCCATGGTCCATGTTCATCCACCGCTTGGCCATGGTTCATCCGGTTTGAAAGAGACGTCGATCCGGTGAGTTCGTGTCGATCCGGGGAGTTCCTTCATGTACATCACAAATGAGTTGCTGCAGCGTGTGCCATGGTAGGGCGGGCTTGACCCGTCAGGTCGACGACCGGCAGGTCGTCATACCTTCCTCGAACCTATGAGGGTTTGCCGTGATGACAAGGCGGTTGTGGATAGGTCCAAATGTTGGAATGCGTATGAACCCAGGACACCCTAAGGGGTGTCTTTTGATAGCCCCTTAGAGGTGATTCGGGGTGTTCATTAACCACCCCTTGTGGGTCCTAGTATGTTCAGCAGATTTGATCCAAAATCCGAAAAAAAACACTGTCGCCAGCCACGGACATCCGTGCTTCAGAACCAGTCGCGTGACGGTCTGAAGAAACACAAACGGTTTTCAAGAAAAGGGCATTCCAAGACCCGTGGAAGCAGGAAAATAGACCCAAATCCACCCCCAAATCCTGTTGGGATTCGGGATCTCCCTATGTTATTGCCTTTTCTTCAGTGGCCTTTTCACATGCTGGAGCCCCAAGCAAGGGTTTGAAAAGGGGTGCTTACTACATCGCAGGCAGGGATCATTCAAAAGAACACACTGTTAAGAGTTACGAAGTAGAACAACCCTAATTATAGACAAAAAGAAAAGACAAACTTAAATGTATATATGTATATAATGCATGTATACACATGTCTTCATCAAGGATCATCTCTGTGACCAAATGTCCACACTGACCACCACCATAAGAAACACTGAACATCAATCGAACCCTTCTTAGCCCATTCGCAGATGTTCTTCCTTCTTCGTGCTCGTTCCTCTTCCGAAACCTCATAGCTCTTCGCCACGGACTCTTCCTTCACCACAAAGCCCGGTGGCACGAAGCGCACCAAGGGCGGCTCCACCAGAGCCCCCGCTGCTCGGTTCCACAGCTGGGATGCCGCCGGGAAGCTCCTCGACGAGCTTCGTCCAACCCCGGAGAGATTGGTAATTGGAAGACTCGAAGATGGACGAGGTAGTTGGCATGCCTGCACCTGGTACACCGTTACCCACATGGAACCGTTACGACCGGCATGGAAACTGGAAGACGATATTTTCATCTACAACCCGGTTTTCAGGTTCCATGTGAATTTTCCAGGGTGTAATCCATACATGTGAGAACGATCAACTCTGTGGTGATCCACGAAAAGAAAAGGACCACATCCAAATATGTATATATCGACAAGGGAGACCTCTCAGGCGTTCCGACTCCCTGGAAGAAAAGTAGACCAGTTTACCCATTGGGGGTGGTTTGGGGTTTCTTATTAAAAGCCACATGGTTTCGCTTCCCATGCCCTCCCTCTATCTCATCTCCTATCCGACCGTTCAAACAGCGGCGACCGGCACTTGGATCCCATCTCACCTGCGCAAACGGCCACTTGGCTTGGCTCGAAATCCATCCACCTACCCAAATCGAAAAAAAATAGGAGAACACCAAACGCCCAGCATCCACAAGTTGCCATGACCTCGCGCTCGCGCTCGCGCTCGGATCGTGCCCGTGGTGTTCCTTTATTTCGGTTCGGCGTCCGATGTCTAGGCGTGTCCAACGTAGCGTGGGGCGCTGCAAGCGGTAGACGTGCGGCGTTTCAGACTGTAGGAGTCACGCGTGAAGGACGCGGGAAGGCTAAGGTAGACGGAAAGACGATTCGTCTGCACCCAATCGAAAGGAAAGGTCCTACCAGTCGTAGGCTCTTGTGGCATCTTAAAGACTCAGTTCCAACGCAACTGGACGTGACTGGAGGTTGTTTGTGGTCCATGAGAAGCTGAACCAGGTCGAGGGGGTGACAAACATGTGGTGAGTCTCTTGTGGCGGGTTGAAACTGGTTTCGCTGGCACCTCAGCCCACCCTGATCCGAACGGGTGGAACGCACCGAGGCACTGAAAGGACCGAATAGATTCTGCCGTGTCACGTGTCTTTCACGGGTGAATGAAGAAAGCAAAATGGAGCAGAATGGTTTTCCTCCCAGACCATAATAAGCTACCTTAGGGTCATAAATAGGGTGAATGCATGTAAATGCATGAGACCTTTTCCTGTCCCATGGACGGTCTGGGTCTGGATGTGGGAAGTCATGTCATGTAAGGCATTTGGGTCATTATCAAGAAAAGTGACATTCGCCATGTCAATGGCCACCTTGGCTACCAGCTCGGCGCACTTGCCTGGAACAAGAATGCCAAGCAGCTGTAGGTCCAGATTTCGCAGACTCCTTGACCCAAACTGGGCTTGGGTGCTGGCTCCTCGGTCTTTTCAACAAAAAGGAGCATGCAACGTTCGAACCGCGGTTGCCTTGGAACATGTGGTGCATGGTGCGCGGTGAACCGCGCACCAGCACCACCTAGGAACCGGGTGATGATGTTAAACACATGGTGAGGAGGGTCTATAAACCACCCAAACTGGGTGGTGCTTGTAATTGGGTGGGTAATTTCACTGGGCCATTGAATTGTCGGTCACAGAAGCCAAGTGGTTCACTGGTCATTCGCCGGGCTTTGAGCAGGGTTCGTTGGAGTCCCCTGGTGGCAAACCTGCACATTCTGCTCCACACCTGGCGAGACCTGCGCTATTTGGACAGACCACACTGAGAAAACCCTCCAGGGTCTCTTCCTCCACTGATTTGTCATTCGTACCTGGAAGTAGAATGGTGTTTCACTGGGTGCCGACAGGACATCCTGTCCCGATTCGCAGTCCACCTTTGGGACCTTTGGACTTACTCTTCATGACCCACTAGCAACCACACGACGGCGCATGGATCATAGATTGCTCCATATATTTGATACAGTTACAGTTATTTGCATTTTTCTGGACTTACAACAGCATAGATTGGTTACAGTATTTTCAACTTACTTGCTCAGGTCGCATGACCCACTAGTAACCACATGCAACCACCATACAAGCACAGATCATCGATTGCTTACCATATACTTGATGGATTTGCCTTGGACCCACACTTTTGTCGCCACATTTCGACTAAGCCTCCAAGAACATTTCGATGCAATACACCTTGCGCCGCGCGAAGGTCCTTCGGCACAGCTGCACAAAGTCTCCTCGCCCTTCCTTAAACAGGCTCTCGAGCCGACGGGCCGACGGGCCGGTGTCGGCGGAAGAGGTTTTTAACATCGCAGTGGTGGGCTGCGCAGTCTGAGCTGCGCAGTCAGGTTGGAAAAGAAGAATCACCAGTTTGTTGAAGAGATGTTTTTCAGAGATGGTCTCGGTGCTCCGTCCAATCGAAGCGTCCAGAAAGAAAGAAAGAAAGATGGTCTCGGTCTCGGTGTCTCACGACATCGGGTGTCTCGGATCTTGCGCATCTGTCTGCCGACGATGTCTCAGATGGTCCCTTGGGACGGAGGCGGCGCCAGGCGCCGGATCGTCGAACCGGGCAGAGTCGAACCTGTTCGCCCCTGGCCGGGGGCTTCACTGTTTGACCCTCATAGACCCTGGCGTCATGGCGTTGGAACCATATGTATATATATGTATATATGCTACCCCCACCCAAATGTCTACCTTTGTGGTTTGCTTGCACGGGTTTAGATCCAAAAATATACGTAAAACACTGTAAATTTATATAAACACTAAAGGAGGTAGACATTTGGGGGGGTACCATATATATATATACCTGGACCATCCAATGGGTATCCAATGGAGATGATCCTTAGGTACGACCCGCAGTGTAGAGTAGTCCATTGGACACCCAGACTGGATGGTCCTGGTATGTGAACCATATTCAACGACATGATCAGCGTGTTTCTTTCTGGTCGCAGGATTTGCCTCCGGGTGAAGTAAACCACCGAACGAATGGTCCGGTCGCAGATTCGCCTGGGGGTGCGGTCACTAATAAGGGTTCCTATACGCACGGGTTCTAAGGGGTCAGACCAGCGTTTCGTCTCGGTTTCCCAGAGTTACCATGCTTCACGGATGACAAGACTCGGGCAAGAAAATGTGCGGGCATGATCTTCTAGACTCGTATATGTAGTGTCGTAGCTTTTTAGGGAGGTTTGCATATACTTATAAAAAGTAATGCAAACCCCGGATTAATCTGCCCCCCCCCCCCACATAGAAGGTCAACAAGGTCAAGAAGGTATGAGATACCACTCATGAGGTCCACTCCCCCTGAATAATGTGCTATGAGACCTTTGGACCATGAAGGTTTGAGAGGGGATGAGCTTGAGGCTAGAGTCCTGGTGAGAGGAACAGTCTATAGGACCAGTGATGAGAGTGAGAGGAATTGGCTGGTAACATTTGGGCGCAGCATGCAGTGAGAGTGGCTGAATGAGCAGCATGAGGTGAGACTTGCTGAATGAGCAGCATGAGTTGAGAGTATAATGTCAAGTCAGGATAAATAAACCTCCACTAGTTAACCCCTTATTAAAAACAATATTGTTTTTTTGGGGATTGTGTAGGCTCGGATTAACTGGGGGGGACTGTTGGTAGAAAACTAGACCATAGGGGGGGAAATCAACAGCCAATAATACTTTTAATTTGGGCAATTTTCGGCGGCTTTGTGGCGGGGGATTTATTAATCCTGACTTTGCATTATAGTATATGACTTTGTACTATGTGTAAAAGTGCAGACTGTGACGCCCTCTATATTACACTCCTCTTGTTTGTGCGTGAATAGTTACCGGCGGCGATTTCGTCGCCCAATTGCGGGACCTGGAACCACAAAGAACACAGTCATGTTCGTCGGTGTCCCCCAAGCAACCAAATGAAACATCAGACTTGGATTGGGCGAAGGAATCCTTAAGAAACAAACAATTAAGACACACAAAATAGAGGAAACAATGTGACGGCAGCCAGAAGGGGACTCACCCAGTTCGGGAAAATGATATTTTCATCCTATCATACTAAGCGCTTAAGCAAGTTTAAGATCAGAATCCTCCCAAACCATGCAAATTGTCTGCTTCAAGTCTCGCTCAGTTCAGACTCTGCAGACTGGTTAAAACATGTTATATAAAACAATGTTTGACTGAGGATTTTACGGCACACAACCAGCTCAACCTTCCCAGACAGGCTATTCCAGTCCCAGACAGGAAGGCTGTTCCAGTCCCAAACAAGTCGTGTCTAACGATATCTCCCCAAACCACAAAGTGTCCGTCGTCCCTGACGGCTCAAGCGCGCAAGCGGCGGAAAAAATGGCGCGCCCAGGCTCGAGTCCAATGTGAATGAGGACGTCTCCCCTGCGCATTTGCACCGGGTACTTCCCATTCTCCGTGTCATTGTCCGGCACGTGGACGAAGGTCTTGTAGCCACATTCCTCCTCTCGGCTTCGCAAGCCTTCCAGCAGCGTCTCTCGGACGTTGCGGTACATCCAGCTGAGCTTTTGCTTGGACACCTCGAGTGCGGCGATCCATCACGATGGGAGACATCACAGGCGTGGAAGGTTCTGGAAATAGACTATAATCTACCCATTTTTCATTGGGCCAGGGAGTCTCCTATATCACCATTTTTCTGTTATAAAACTCTACAAACATCTTGAAACCTCTTTCCAAGTAGCCTTGCGCTCCCCCTGAGTGATCAGAATCTTATACTGCCTTTGCCCCGCTTCGCAGCGCAGGCCCGGATAGCAACACCGCGGAAGCGGCGTCGCAGCTTCCGCTTCGGCCGCTTCGGCCGCTTCGCTCGGCGCACCCAGCAGGTCCGGGTCGCGGACCGGTGGCGGACCGAGCGGCACCTGGAGCGTGGACGCATCGCCGAGGGTGAGGAGTAGACCTGAAAAAGAGGCTGAAATCCCCACGGTGTTTTTCAGGTGGTGGATGCGCTGGTCCGGTGAAGAAAAACTGTCATGACACAAGCAGAACATACACGCTCCAGGCACCACCATATCTCTCTCATTTGATCAATGACCGTGCGCTTTCAGAGGTGTCGAAGTCCTCTTCCAAACTGCGGGGATGGCAAAGCAGTGGAGGACAGCACACCTTCTGACTGGCATCCACCCAGTGACGCTCCGCTCCGTGTGATTTCCCCCTTTGGTCGCTCCAAAGCCTCGGGAGGTCCTCTTCGGGTCCCAACACCCCCGGTTCTCCCGCCCGAGCGATCGGAGCACGTCCCACCCGGCTCTCCGATCGCAATGGTCGGAGACCTGTGTCTATATAATATATTATATATATACTATATATATTAATATATATATATATAATATTATATATATAGTATATATTATATATATACTATATAAATAATATTATATATAGAAATTATATGTATATATATATGTTGTATACAGTCCGGTCCGGTGCTGTCGTGGAGTGGGGATGATGTTGGATGTGCGCCGTGGACAGGAGACTTCTGGGATGGTGGGATGGTCTTCTGTTGAGTGGATTCACCCTGTGGATGTTCAAGCACCTCTCCATGCTTTTAGGATGACACGCACAAATCACAAGTGCGGATCGATGCTTTGGCTCAAGAAACAGGACGTGCTGAGCGTCTTGTCTGATTTGGCTTTGCACATCCTTAGGTTGTGAGCCCAAACGGGTTCTGTTTGGCAGCCTAGGAAGTCCACCCGGTGTTGACCGGCTGCTGGTCCCCATGGAGCAGCGGCGAAGACGGCAGCAGCAAAGATCCCGCGAGCGGAAGGGACAACCTGAGGGCCAAGCACCTGTAGACCAAGGACCAAGCTTGGAAATTGGTGCACCTAACCGACGCCTGGACTCGCTCATTGAGGCCGAGCTGCGATCGAAGGCAGCTAGAGCGCAATCAGTGCCTGTGGCGGCTGCGGAAATGAAGCGACTGAGCGCGTAAGCGGCGGGACAACGTCATGGAGACCAACCTGCTGCCTCGGCCTCGAGTGGAAGTCAGAGGATGCCGGATGTCAGGCAGCTACTTGTGGATCCTCGAGGGCAAGCACTTGGAATTGGACAAGTGCAGGAGGCTGTCCGCCAATCGGTGGAGGTGCTTCAGCATGCCTTTCAGAGGCCAGTGCAACCAGCTTTAGCGCCCACACTACTTGACCCTCTTCTTCGGCCCGGCGATCATGGAGGTCATGTCGGACCAGGTCTTAGCGTTCTTCCTGGGCACGGGCTGGCGGATCCTGGAGTTCCTGGAGGACAAGGCATTGGTGGCCTCCCTGGCCATGGACTGGCAGCAGGCACTCCGCTGCGGTCAGGTGAGCAGGAACGAATGGGCATGTCTACCTCCTCGTGTCTTGGAGCCCTATGGAGCTACCCCAGTTGGACCCTTGGGAACGGTGAATCCATTTTGGAGTACCAACATTCAACAGGCTGCAAAAGGTGAGGGGCATGTTCGAATGGCAGCGCAAAGCTCAGGACATCCTCAACAAAGCCCTGGTGTTGGTGACGTTGAACGTCTTCGGGAGCGAATTCTTCGTGACGCGGAGGAACAGTTTGCTCGGGAGCTCAAAAAGATGTCGGATGGTGATTCGGCTTCATTCACCTCAGTGCGCAGTGCTGGAGGAGAACATCGACGTGATCACCAAGGAGGAGATCAATTGAAGGCTGGAGGAGGACCGCCTGAGACACCTCCTGGGACAACCGCCGGACCATGGACCTGCTCTCCAACCTACTTTGATGAGGACAGCTGAATCTGTCACCGCTTCGCTTCCAGAAGCTATGAGGAACTTGGAGCTTCCACAATTGCCTTCGCCTTCAGCGGAGAACGCAGCTTTGTTGTTTGGGGATTGGCTCACGGTCATCACACCCCTGATGGGAGACTTGAGCACTTCATCAAAGGAGTTTTGGGAATGGGCGCAGCGCGAGGTTGAGATCAAGTACAATGAATGGCTCCTGGCTTCACCGCTGGCTCGACTACGAATTCGAGTTGAAGAGCAGGTGTCCCCACGGTTCCAGCGCTTGGACCAGAGCGCAAGCTCGACCTTGTTGGCCGCACTTCCCGACCCTGTGAGAAGAGACATTGTGGCGATTCGAAAAGTGGCTACCCAGGCCATTCTGTACAAGCTCTTCACAATCTACCAGCCTGGTGGAAATGCTGAACGAGGCAACTTGCTTCGCAGCCTGACTGAGGTCAAGTGTGGCCACTCCATCCGGGACACCTTGAGCGCTATTCGAATGTGGCGCAGATGGCTTTGTCGAGCTGAAGAGTTGCACATCGGCATCCTGGACTCAATGGTCTTGATTCAGGCCTTGTCCAAGATTGCGGAGAACCTCACCAAGCAGGGAGGAAGTCAGGTGGGATTTCGAGTTGCAGCCGCTCGACAAGAACTTGAAGTTGATCGCAGGCCCACACTGGAGACCCACCAAGGAGTTTGCAGAGTTCCTACAAGCAGAAGCGGAAGATTTGGCGTTGACTATGCCTCAGCCGCCTTCTACAAAGACTACCAGTCCTGCAGCCGGCACGCAACCTGCGGGGGGAGCTCAACCAACGATCAAGGCCTTGGGGGGAGGATATGGCAGTGGAGATGGGCAACAGAAACCAAAACAGGCGTGCCGCTACTGGGGTAGTTCAGCTGGATGCAAGCGTGGTGAATCTTGCACCTTTGCAAACTCCTGGGAGGGCATCAACAAGACGGACGGGTGTTTTCACTGCTCCGGGGAGAACCACTTCGCCAAGGCATGCCCATATGGTCGAGATCGACCTGGGAAAGATGGGAAGAAAACGGCCAGGGAGAAAACAGAAGAAACCAGTAAGCCCGGGACTTCATCGACGACACCAACGACGCCAACCTTACCAGCTTCACCGTCCAAGGAGGATGAGAAGAAGGAAGGGGGGTCTGCTGGAGGTGGAAAATCGGAGGACCCGGCCAAGGAGTTGATTGTGGAAGCGACTTCATTGTTGAAGACATTGCGGGCCATGAAAAGGGTCTAACTGAAACAGGTGAGCATGGATCGGGGCGACACTGCCAACGATCGCTTCGCTTTGCTGGACGGCGGCGCGACACACGCGTTGCGAGTTGCTCACCAACATGAACGTGATGATTTGCGTCCAGTGGAAGTAGAGCTGGCACAAGGCACCACCACCTTATACAAGCATCCTAGCCACAGCACGCTCCTCTCGTTGACGGAGGTTGAGCCCATCATCCCCTGCAGTCTCTTGCTTGAGAAGGGCTTCACTATTTCATGGAGGAGAACAGGCTGTTCTGTTCGACATGCTGACCATGGAGAAGTAGCATGTGTGTTGAGGCATGGGTGGCCGGTGATGGATCGTCAAAGCGCTCTCTCGATGCTGGATAGGTTTGAGGCGGAAGAGAAGGGAGCCAATGAGTTGGACGCCGAGCAGTTGGCTTGGTGGGGCACCCACTTCGCGGAAGTACCACCTGAGGTGCTACGCTACATGGGGGGCCAAGGGCGAGTACCGGAACAGCCTCCATGGAATAGGAGAACGAGGCGAACTCACGCCAAGGCTAAGGGGGTGATCATCAACCTCTTTTGCGGTCCAAATCCCAAAAAATGGAGTGGAATTGGAGGTGATTCCTTTGTTTGGCTGCACTTGGACACCTTGCTGGGCTCGCAGTACAGTTTGCACAATCCACAGGTGTGGAGCTATGTTTGGGGGTTGGCTTTGAAGGGCCGGGTGGCCGCGATCTTGGGCGGCCCGCCCTGTCGCACCGTATCGAGGATGCGGAACAGCGCTTCACCAGGGCCGAGGCGACTCAGGGGCAGGGGTGCACATCGATGGCATCTACCTCACCTTCAGGACTATGAACTCAACCTGGTGAACAGTGATACGGCCCTCTGCCTGAAGCAGATGGCACTATGGGTGCGTTCGCAGGAACGCAAACGCTGGAATCAAGATGTTGGAATGCTATTGGAATCTCCGCAGGGCCCAGCTTCCTACTTGAAGGACGAGGAGGAGGTGAAGACCGCACCATCCTTTTGGAGCTTCCAGGAGATCACGTCTTGGCTTATACATTTTGATCAAGGCTCAATGGGCCATGCACGGCGAAAGCCTACAACGACCCTGCCCAACTTGCCTGAACTACATCAACTACATGGGCTACGGGGTGATGGACATGAATCTGGACCACTGCCTGCATCCCTTCCACAAAGGATGGATGCGTCGAAGGAATGGGCAGCTTGGGCTCCGGGCTTTGTGAAGGCCATTCAACACTCTTTGACCTGGTTTCTGTCTTCATTGACGCTGGCAGAGCAGGAGGAGCACACCCCACAAATAGCCAAACTGGACATGGATGCTTGGAGACGTCATGTACATCAAGGACATCTCCCTTTCAGATCGGACTGCCGAGTTTGCGCTGAAGCTATGGGGTGCGACTCACCTCACCGGGTGGCCCCTTCGAGGTTGGGAAGGACTATGTGACTGGTATGAGCTGTCGCTATGCTTTGGTTGGCACGGTGGCAGTACCCATTTTGGGGGATCCTCCCGGGGCAGGCGATGAACCTTGTGACCACCCTGAAGCCATGAAGGAGGTGCCAGAATTGCCAGAGCTCGAGGATGATGCCGCCATGGTGACGAAGGAAGAGGCGCAGGAGCTCAATTGCAGTCGCGGCGATGCAGAAGAGGGGGAGATTGCCAAATCCACGGAGGCGATGCACTTCCAGAATTTAACAGTGGTTGATGTGATGCAGGACCGGTCGGTGGGCTCCATCGTGCAGGCCTTGTCCAAAGTGTATGCCAAGTTTCGATCACTGGGGGTTCAAGTCTTTCGCCTCCATAGTGATCGTGAGAAGTCTTTCATGGCTCGACCGGTTCAGCGCTGGTGTCAGACTCGCGACCTCCTACAGTCCATGACGGGAGGAGATGATGCCAAGAGTAATGGACGAGTTGAGTCTGAAGTCCAGCAGATCAAGAGACGAACCCGTGTTCTTCTACATGAAAGTGGGCTCCCACACACGTTTTGGGTCTGTGCACTGAGGCACGCAGCGGAGCAGCGCCTACGCGCACAGTTGCATCGACTTGGAGTGATCACCCGCCCGATGTTGAGGTTTGCATCAACCATGTCTGTGAAGACGAAGCGATGGCACCGCTCTGGACAACTGAGCAACCCGTTTCGCAGCATGCAGATTTTGGGACTCAGTCCCTTTATGCCCAACGGGTGGCTGGCGAGAGATCGCCGTGGCATGGTTCAACATGTCAGATCCGCCTGGGTTCAAGCAGAAGGCACCGATCAAGCACTACATGAACTACAAATGGCCGATGCCGAAGCGCTTCAGCCTGTGCGACGGCATCTACATGGAAAACAACCCCCTGTGGAGGAGGATCCCCTGGAAGGTGTGGTCGGTGCACTATACCACCCTGCTTTGTCTACAATGCAGGCTGGGGGGGGGGAAAGCTTTGGTTTTTGAGCCGGTGGATTCTGAATCCGGACACTTTGAGCCCAACTCTGATTCGTTGAACTCTATGGGTTGGGGATGGGAGGACAAAACTACAAGATTGCCGACATCTTCCAGCGGGACATCGCCTACTACCAGGGAAACCATGGCGGAGGACAAGGGCGTAGGACAGGGGGAGGATCAGGCCTGGACCACTGGTTGGCTGGAGCAAGAAAAATAGCACAACCAGGAGTTGCCGGAGCACTGGTCATTGAAGAGATTGTGGAGTGAGGAACTCAACAAGATAGCCGTGGGTGCGGAGGAGGACGGGAATATGGAGAATGGCTCCATTGGTTGGAAGTTATGGTGTTTTCAAGGGAAGTGGTCCTGGGAGAGCAGCACCGAATGCTGGAAGAAGCACGATGGTCCAAGATCGCAGCAATGAATGATGAGACCACCACACGTGTTGGCACTTTCTCCAGACCAAGCACAGTGCTTCAAACTTATACAGTTCCTCTCCAACAAGTGCGGCGTGACCTGGAGAAGTGGAAGGAGCCCTTGACTGATGAGTACCTTTCGCTGACCTCCAACACCAAGTTTTGAGACCCACAACAACAGAGGCCTTGAAGAACCACCCCAACTACGCTGAAATGGAAGTGGCGCCTCCCCACGGTGAAAGCTCCGTTCGGAAAACATCGGGCTCGCATGGTCATATGTGGAAATAGAGTGGAACTGGCCGACCCGGAACAGGCCAACAGGAGATCTCAAGAGCCGGAACGTGAAGAAGGCCGAGAAGTTCTTTTTGGGAACTACGCAGGTGGAGCGGACGCCACTTTCGGAAAACGGCTCACGAGCGCTGGACTTTGGGATCGGTGGACGTGAAAACAGCGTTTCTTCTTGCTCCTCGTCAACGGGCCAAGGAGTCTCTCTTGGTGGCGATCCCGCCACGGGTGCTTGTTGAAGCTGGCATCGTAAAGGAGAACGAAAGATGGATCATCGACAAAGCCATGTACGGTCTGGATTCCAGTCCAGCGGATTGGAGGGTCTATACAGGGACACCATGCTGCAGCAGTGCAAGTGGGAGCTCATCTACAGCATGAACTACGACCCACTCCAGAAGGAAACTTGTGGCAAGTCATTGCCACTCAAGCTGATGGAAAAGAAAAGGCGGTGGGCTATGTCGCTGTGTATGTTGACGACTTGCTGGCGGTTGGACCGGATGATGTTGTCCGGGCCGTGTTGCAGCGCATCACTCAAGAGTGGAAATGCTCGGAGCCGGAGTTCGTGGGCCAGGGGAGGTGCATGAAATATTGCGGCTTTGAACTGTCCTGGGATGGTCTCACAAATGAGTTGATCATTGGGCAGGAAGCATATACATTGGATTTGTTGAGCCGCCATGAACCCGCTTCCTTGAGGTCTACACCACTTCCTGGCAATCTTTGTGAAGACCCTGAACCTTCGCCAACGCCGGAGTAGATCAAAGCAGCTCAGGGCTTAGTCGGTGAAGTGCTCTGGTTGTCGACCAGAACCAGGCCTGATCTGGCCTTTGCGGTGGCTTGGATGGGGAGAGGAGTCAGTAAGTATCCAGCTCGAGTTTGTGAATATGGGCGGCATGTTTTGGGCTATATCACTGCAACCTCCAATATGGTGTTGAGGTATGGTCAATGTCCCCAAGGTTTGGAAGAGAGCTCGGATCTCGCCTTCCACAGGTCTATGACTCGGCTGGAGGTCTTCTGCGATTCCTCCTTTGCTCCTTTTGGTTGCCGAGGCCAACAGGGGGTGATCGTGCTATATGGCGGGGCTCCCATTCAATGGGAATCAAAGCAGCAGCCCTTCGCGACCCTTTCGAGCTCGGAGTCGGAGATCTGCGGGTACCTGGACGGGGTGGTGATGGGCGAATCCGCCAGAGTGTTGATCAACATTTTGGAGCAGGGGGCACTCAGCGATGAGAATTGGGGTGGTGCTCTACGGCGACAGCCAAACGGGTTTGAAGATTCTTCAAGCCCCTGACGGGGCATGGCGCACACGCCACCTGAGATTGAGGTGTTTCGTGGTTCGCAAGCGGGTGAACTTGGGCATGTGGAAAGTCCGCCACCTTCCGGGCTCGAGGCTAGCTTCGGACTTGCTCACCAAGGTGATCACACAGCCAGGAGCATGGCAAGCCTTCTATGAGTTCATGGGGTTGAAAGCTGCTGGACGCGCCGCGCTGGATGAGGCTGAGAGCTGTGAGGGTCCGGGGGAGCGCGGCTGCCTTAGTAGGTGTAGTGGTAGGTCTTGCAGCTTGGAGGCCTGTAGAGAGGCTTGGTAGGATTGCTCGCTTGTTGGGCTTGGCCGCGGGTGTGGTCAAGCTCTCTAGGATGTTTGAAAAGAAAGAAAAAAGAGTCACTGGCCGTCAAGATCCATCCAGCATGAGGGAGACCATCGAAGAGACCTGAATGAGGAAGCTTGGCAGATCTCTCTGAGAGATGAAGGTTTGCTGCCTCCTAAAGCGGACTCATTGCCGCTGTGGATGGGGGTGTCGACAAGGGTGATGGCAGCTCGCGGCTCGGCGGATGAAGATCCGGATCCTGAGGATAGCTTTCAATTGGTGTATGAAGCACCTTGAACCCTTTTTTGTGGATGGACGAAAAAACCTGTCCACAGGGAATGCCTGCAACGCAGGCAGGGGGAGTGTGGATGTTCAAGCACCTCTCCATGCTTTTAGGATGACACGCACAAATCACAAGTGCGGATCGATGCTTTGGCTCAAGAAACAGGACGTGCTGAGCGTCTTGTCTGATTTGGTTTTGCACCTCCTTACACCCAAACCTTGGTCCATCAACAGAAGACCTACGCTGCCCCAAATGGCTCTGATCCACCGCCAGCGGTGGATAGGGGACCCCTCCCCATTTATCTCAGCTGGGTGATTCTTCAGCAGAAGTCCCCTGGTGATGTTGCTTCCCCAAGAGCAAGCAAGCGAAAATCCACTCAGATGGGGAAGCCTTCTAAGCTCCGTCTGTCTGCTTGATCACCCACTAGATCAGGTGAACGAGCACTCCAAACCAGATACGAAGACGCGGTAAAGAGAGTTTGAGGATAGACTGATAGACTGGTGAATTTTTGGAACAATCACTATTTATAGGGTTTAATATGGGTTTAATCATATCCAGGTCTCCCCATTTTGTGACAACCCGATTTGTATGTTGGGTAGGTATTGGAGAATGGTGACCCCGCTATGGTGCGCCCGGAGGAAAAAGCCACCGCTCTGGTGCGGAGGGTGAGTAGATCCTGAAAGCAAGTGTACAAACTGGTCTCATCATGTGAAAATTTGGTGAAATCATGTGAATCTATGTCCTATATCCCCTTTGAAATTCATATGGGTACTTGGGTAGCCCAATTTAGGACTCAGGTGACCTGATTCCATAGTGGGAATCTTTTAGGGGATTGTCCTATGTTAATTTCAGCACAACAGTACAAATCATGTGAATCAATTCGAATGTCCGCACCGAAGTGAAACCATCTTCATCATCTTCTCCAGCTCGGCTGCTCTCCAAAAACCACTCGCTTTGCCCCGCTTCGCTCCGCTTCGCCCCCGCCTCTGAGGGGAGTTGTCTCAAGAAGAGGCCTGGAAAATCGGATGGCACAGCTGGAGGCCTGGTACCCCTGTCCACATCGGATGGCGCCCAGTTCGATGATTCTCGGGGACGACCTATAGCCTGGGACACTCGAAAGGCATTTGTTGAGAAGGGTCTTCTGAGCGCCAAAAACCTAGTCGAAAATGACCCCGTCCGGACGGCAACGCCCGTAACTGGTGAAAGGCGGGTGTTGGATCAGATCCCACTACCCCTTGCACAACACGACCCCAAACATTTATACTGGAATATTCTGGTGGTTGTACTCCGAACTCACCTATCCATAGCTGGGGGGGTTTTGGATCATAGATCACCTGAGCATAACCCAAGCTCCGTTCTTCGTTGGAGCCCGTGCTGGTGTCACCGTGGTGCCTTTAATCCCAACTCACCTGCAGAATGTATTGGGGGTTCCAATCGTCCAAGTCACTGATCTTCTGAATTGACACCACCCTTTTCGATTTGATAACAGCCACGTGGCCAGTGAGACTGCTAATCACCATAATCACCTAAAGAAACACAAGCATGGCCACAAGCAGATGTGCGAGAAGCCCAAAACGAAACGATGGAAAGCAAAAACACGGAACTGCTGCGCACTGCAAACGTCCATGGCCTTTCCCTGAAGAACCACCTACTGAGGTTTAACTAGCAATGTATCGCCTATTTCCACATGGGCTATCGGCTATCCCATAGGCTCTTGGTGTCCCTCAGAGCCACCTTGGTGTCCCTCAGAGCCATAGAGGTCTCTTAACATCTCATAACATCTCTTGACCCATCCAAGAGGCGTCCTGGACGAAGTTTCTGGTGATTCTAGGGGTGTCCCAAAACCACCGGACGGACTGCGACCTTCTCGGAAGGTCCCAAGTCCTGTCATCAAAGGTGGATTAACACTGCTTAGACACCAAGAGAGGTAGCCAGTGACCGTAAATAGGACCGTAACCTAGGGGTACCGAACTGGGATAGGCGAACGTTCGGGTCCTGACCCACCTCTGTTGACCTCTCTGAAGAAGTCGGTCATTTCATCCCATCGCTTCACATGAGTCCGGCCCAGTCCACCCGGCTCCACCCGCGCAGTCTGAAGCGCTTCGCTTCAGCTCAGTCACCGAGGAAGGCCACGACCACCAATGCCAAGAAGACCTGGTCGACTTCGGAGTGGAGGAGTTTTTCATCCACCCCAAATGGCGCGGATACCATGGATGAGTGGATCAGACTGGGAGTTCTATAGGAGAACAGCTGCCATTTTGTCAGTTCTAGAATTCCATCATATAGATGGCTATGGCTGTGGGTCAAAACCGCGGGTGTGAAGCTCCATCCGTGCTGGATGATGTACGCTTTCTATGTAT